CCCCAGTCACCCCCGGGCTGCAGGGGGCGGGTTGGCCCCAGGCTGCTCCCAGCGGAGCTGGCTGCGATTCCCTGCCCAGCTGCCGCCAGCTCCCGGTGTGTGCGGGGCGGGAGCAGGATCACGTTACCACCCATCTCCCCCATCCCCTGCTTTGTTTCCCTGCCCCTGGCCGCGCTGGTCTGGACGGAGGCTGCAGCTCGGGGAGATCTGAGGGGGGCAGAAAGTGGGCAGGGGCCAAACTGAATGCAGGGTGGGGGGCCCAGCTGGGGGCCGGGGAAGGAGAGGGGCCTAGGGGCACAATCAGGGCGGGGGGGGGCAGCACAGGCGCTCGATCTAGGCTGGTGGGGTCCAGTCGCCCCCCAGCTTGAAGGGGTTTCCATCCTATCCAGGGTTTACAGTTTGGTTCAATGGCTCTCAGCGCCCCCCCACTGTACAGATTGTTTCAGCCCCCCTGCCTGGGACTAGGAGCCGGGGATAAGAACAGGATACAACCGGTGGGGGGTGAATCTAGGGCTGAGGGAGGCACTACCCAACTCCCCCCCCCCCCGAGTGTGTGGCCCCAGCCTGAACTCCGGGGGCAGCCTAAGGAGAAGCCTGACCCGCTCCTCACAGGGGCCGTGCACCCCACCTCCGCAGTCAGCTGTGACTCTCAGCTGGCTTGGAAAACAGAAGGTTTATTGGTCACTAGGAACAGCATTGAACAGAGCTTGTTAGCACAGAAATCAGGAGCAATCAGCAAAGTCCATCTTGGGGGGGAATCCAGAGTCCTGAGCCCTGGACTCTCCCCACTGAGTCCCAAACCAGGAGACTGATCTGCTTCCAGGCCCACCTCCTCAGTGACACCCACCTCCCCCTCCTCCGTGCTTTCTCTCTTTCCCAGGAAAACAGGTCTCATGGCCTCCTCCTCTCTCTTTGTTCTCCAGCACCTTGGGCTGGCTCCTTGCAGAGGACTGGCTCCAGCCATAGCTTGCCAGGATACAGAATTTTGGCCATTCTCTATGCCCAGGAAGCCACTCTGCAGTGACACCTGCCCTCTAGAGGTCTCTGCAATGATCACACACCTGTATCCCACCAGCTTGATACTTGAGTAACACATGGGGAAACTGAGGTACACACTCCGTATTCAGACAAAACATTAAGAACATTCCTGCTTCATCACACCCCTCTGAGACCAGCCCAGGGGCACTTTCTCCAGTGGCTGGAACCCCTCTAACCATACCAGCCCCTCAGCCTGAGCCTCCAGGTGATGGAGAGACCTGGGGAAAGGGCTGGATCCGGGCAGGGAAATGACTCTGTACAAAGGGCCCCTTTCAGGGACCAGCTGGTGAGTTTGGCCTACAAGCGGAGGGGCTCCCTGTGTCTGGGAGTCCCAGAGCTGCTGCCCTCAGTGACACAGCCAGGTTCAACCCCCGTTACCAGTGTCAGTGGCTGAGCTGCCTAAGGAGAGCAAAGGCCCAGGACAATTGGGCAGTCGCCCGTTCTCCCAGGGCGAGGGAAGAAAATAAAAAGGGAGAGCGGAGAGACTTGAAAGGCAGCAGGAGCAAGAAGTGGGGAGGGAGGTTCCCAGCCCTGCCCAGAGCCATTCCCTGCACCCCCGGGGCAGTCAGCTCTCCTGGGAACAAGGGGAGGAGCTGAGAGAGGAAAAGCCAGTTGCTCACTGGGCTGAGCACCACACTACTTAGAGAGATGGGGGAGAGCAGTCTCTAAGGTGCCACAAGTCCTCCTGTTCTTCTTTTTGCGGATACAGACTAACACGGCTGCTACTCTGAAACCTTTCAGAGGGGTTACAATACACTGTGGGGCAGTGTCCTAAAGTGACTCCTTTGATTCTTCTCTTTTTCCAGTGTTTGGCTCAGAGCTGCTATTCCTGGGAGGTTTAGAAGGGACTTGGTGGGTTTAGTTCTAATGGGGGGGTGGTTGTAGGGTGACCAGACGTCCCATTTTATCGGGACTGTCCCGATATTTGACCTGGGTGATCTGGTCACCCTGGGTGGCTGCCTGGGGAGGTAATGAACTAACTGGGTTTCTTCCCAGCATGTCAGAGTCATAGAATCATAGCGTCTGTCTGCAGGGAGAGATCCTGGGGGGAATTGGGGAATGATATGGATT